GTTCAAGGGGTATGAATACTTTTGCAAACCACTGTATCCTACCCAAGGACAATGACTGAGACGACTGGAACAGGGTATCAAACCAGCAACCTTCAGGTTACAGGACGACTCCCCTAACCACTCTACCACAGCTGCCCATAATGAACGGCCAACATGGGCTGGTTCTCTGTATTTTGTTGAAAAGTTAACTGAGCTAAGATATGCAGCTACTGAATTTTATTTTATTGCAGTTTTCATCATTGTTCATTGTCCCATCCATGTAACTGCTGTGTGCATGTGCCAGRTGTCACATATGTGGTTCTCACCTGGACAGGTAGATGTCCTGATAGTACTGAAGTTGCTTAGCATGATGTGTGTCGATCAAGGAATGAGTGGGGCTTCTCTCCTGTGGAAGAGAGAGAAATAATGTGGTAAAAAAGAGATYCTGTCTTGCATCCCAAAGACCAACAACCATTGGTTACAGTAGATCAAGCATGCAGTCAGAAACCCTAAAGACAAACATTTAGCATTAGTTGATTAAGACACACTGAGCAGGGTCCATGCACTTTTATAAGAGACAAAGAAGAAGACGGTTTAAAAATGTGTTAATCTCATGCAGTGACAGCAAGTTAAAGATGAGAACGAAGCAGCTCTTTAATGACAGGACATTATCAGAAACATGGACTGAGGAAACAGCAGAAGTTCAGGGGTGAAAAGTTTCCCTCCAGAGTTTACTCACTGTCAGAGGCTTTATCGCCTAAGAAGGGTTCCTGCTCCATGATGTCCATGGGGATTTTAATATTAGGGACATTTTCATTGTAAGGATAATCAGACTGTTGGAGAGAGGAAACACATCCTGAGAACGGACCTCTGGGGAGAAGGGAGTTCTCATCAACACTCAGGAAATAAGCATGGAACTGCAAACCAGTCCGTCCTGGAGCCATCTCTAATTGATGCTTCGTTCKTCTACTAAATCAGAGAACAGATCTGCTGCAGCAGGGCTGGACTCAACGGAGACAAGACAACATCTCAGTCTGTGGTAATCTCACAGGGTTTAAATGTGCAGAATCACTAAAACAGACATGGTCCCTACATTGTGTCCAGCTGTCCTATCTGTCCACCCATGAGACAGTCCACAGTCAAATGTTCATGACTCCAGAAGTGTTTAGGATAAAACTGTCCAAATATTAACCCTACGTCCATCCAGAGAATCTTGAGTGGTTCTTGTAAAGTTCAGATCAGTGAGCTGTCCTCCCAGTCGTCCCCTCCAGACAGGACATCATTGCTCACATGGACATTACTGAAGTCACCTGGTATAATAACAGAACCACCAGATTGAAACCTTTAATGATCCAATCATCAGACTGTAAGAAGGTCTGAACTTCAGTTTGGTGCATATGAACAAACAGGAGGTTCTTTAGTGCT